AAGTTTCTGGCATCGTTATCGAGGATTAAGAGTTAAGAGTCTTAAGCTAATATCATCATTCACCATGCTTTTTTATAGATTGGTTCACCTTATTAGTTTACATAACTTAGGATAGTTGCTTAGTTTACATAGCCCTATTATAGATAGTTTACACTTAGCTATTATATTTGTGTTTAGGATTTATTTTTCTTTTCATGTGGGAGTATAATTCTTATGAGGTAACTAAGCACCATGTAGACCATGCTAGACCTTATTATTTTTTATGACTACCTAGGATCATGGCTTAATGAGAAAAACTAAGCCAAAAGAGAGTCGACTTTAAAACTTTATTCGAAACTTTAGACTCTTTAAAAAATCAAGTAAAGGCCATTAAAGCTAGGTATGATCCTAAGCCTACTCTTGTCTATAACTTTCTAAGTCGATATGACAATGGTCAAGTATATGGTAATAGGTGTCCGTATGACCAATACTCTAAATCTTACATAAACACCTACACTATTAAAACTTGAAAAGGTTACCCTAAAACATGTAGGACATTAGTTCAGGGCATTCTTTTAGTTCACCACCTCAGTAAACCCCAACTTATTTTAATAAGTATTCACTTCCATAATACCCTTCATAACCTAACATTCTCTACCATCACTACAAGTTCTTCAAGTGCCACACTATGTTCCACCATAACAATATTTTTCTTTATCATAATACCATTTTTTTCACAACACTTTTCATCCACACCATATTCACCACCACCTCTTCCACAAGAAAAAAAACCATCCCTTAAGGAGATTCTTACTGAAAGGTGTCAAACTATAGAATAACTCTTTCAAGCTAACAAGAAGCATCCATTAGGGCTTTTGGGCACTTTGGTCAAAATACACATACCTTAAACACTTACCTATAAGATTCCATGCCTAACACTATAAAGTCAAAACCTAGTTGATTAGATAAAAAGAAGTGCACTTTGAGAGATCATTATAGGAGGAAAAATTAGATATCGATTGATGATGATGAAGAGTAGATTGTGGTAAATTTACAATAATTTGTAAAAGTTATGGTAAAGGAAGAGGACATGTTTGTGGTTAGGAAATTGATGAAAAAGGATCATTTAGAGAAATTGAAAAGGAGAACAACATTCAAGAAAGAGTTGATGTTAATATTCCATTCATGCCATTTTTCAAGTTCTTTGATGATCACTTACTCAATTATGTGAAGATGCACAAGGTGGATAGATGTATTGATAAGACAAGCTTACTTGAGAGGTCACTTAAGCCTTTAGACACATTATTTCTTGAATCTAGTATCAATCTTAAGAATGAAAGAAACTTATTAGAAAAGAATTTACTTGTCTAGTAGCATCTCTATTCATTGACCCTATGCTCGAAGCTATAGACACCTCGTTCTTAAAACTTTTTCTAAATAAACCATTCATGAAGAGAAAAGTGAATGATATGAATTTTAAAGAGGATGGTTTAATTTTCTATCTTAAGTTGCATGAAGGTCTTAGCATTAGTCCTAAACAACAAGATTTTGAACTTTATAGTCCATTTATACTAATTCTTCAATTATTTAAGGTTCCATTTTATGATGATTTGGAAATACCTGTGGTTGAAAACGAACTGTTAAACAACATTGATAAGCCTAGTAAAAAAGATAATGATAAAATAAAGAAAATTTTAAAAGCAATGCTAAAAGTTGATAATGTGGAGGGTTTAGATGATGATAGTATAAAAAGATTTTTTAGTTGCTTAAAAGTTTCCCTAACTTTTGATTTTTAACTTGATTTCTTTGACTTTTCATTTTTTATGCTTACTAAACCTATACCATTTATGGAGAAAATTTTCATCTTAAAGCCTAAACCCATATTCCCATGGTGGCACCTTATTCATTGATACTGAGGCCAATGATCACCTTTATTGATCCATATTGCAATATACTTAAATTATTCATAGAAATCAGTTACAAATCTATCCTTCAGCTCTAACGTCATTTAGAATTTATCAGTATATATTTGGTGCAAAAAAAAGATTGAAATGGGTAGATTCGAGAAAGAAATGTGGAGTAATTCTCTAACACTTGTGAAAGCCAAGTTTTTAACTTTAAACAAAGCATTTCTTGGGATGCAACCCAAGCTTTACATTTCATTTTTGGTTCATTTACTTTTTTTATTTAGTTTTTTTTCCTTGTAGATATTGATGTAGTTTTTTACGTGGTTGTTTCCTTATTTTGTAGGTTTAATAAGAGCTTAAAGCTAGAAGCATTAATTCAGCCAAGCATTGATGAAAGATTCAGTCCCATGCCTCCATATTAATAGGGGAGTTCCTTTATTCCTTTTTTTTGTACTTTATTTCTTTATAATTGTACCTTGAAGAGAATGTGTCATTTAAGTTTGATGGTATGGAAAATTTGATTAAAATTTAAAAAAAATTTTAAAATTTCCTTGAGTTTTGCCTTAAAATTGAGTTTGACTAGTGGTAGCTTGAATCATTAGTATACTTTTTTTGATTAGTTCTTTATGAAGCCAATGATAGGTAGAGATTGAGAATGAATATAGTTTTAGGAAAAGATTGAATATTGTGAGAAATATGAAATGATGGTTAGCTTTAGTGAATTCCTGAATATGGTTTTCATTTGTGAATTGATACTTTGATCATTGAATTATATTTTTTTATCTAGTGTTGATTATATGAGCATGAAATATAGTTTTTTCATTGGTCTTTCAAATTGTGTTTCATGTTCTAGAATTTATTTTGATCATTTCTTGAGACAAAATCCAAAATGACACATAATTAGGAAATGATATAGGCCATATTTGGATTGCTTGAGCCTTTTGAGCCATCATTGATCTAATATTTACATAGTCACCCTATTTGAGCCTTATGATATCCTTTTTTTTGTTTTGAAATCGTGTTACAAGCTCATAGCCTTGATTTGTATATTTCCTATCTTTTTGGTACCTTACCTTATATGCATTAAGGCATTCATGTATAATTTATGAGCTATACATTATTAGAGAGGAAGGGTGAAGCTTTAAAAAGAATAAAAATAAAAAAAAAAAAAAAGTCAAGCTAGCTTGCAAAAGAAAAGAAAAAAAGGAGAAGAAAAAGTTATGAAAAAGAAAAAAAAAGCAAAAACAATAAAGTGGTGAAAAAGCAAAGAAAAGAAGAAATGGAACAAAAGTAGGCAAAATCAAAGTTTAGGGGGAGATTCTTTAGTCAAGCTTATCTTTCTTACTTTGGAAGCTTAATTATGAATGATCCTAGATAAGTAATGCATTATTAGGGTACTTGAGCCTAAATTGACTTTTACCATACCTTGACTCTAGCCTTACATTATAAGCTTATGAAAGTCCTAAATAATCCTTAGTAATGTGTTTATCTACACTAGTAAAGAGAGATGTGATAAGCAAACTTATAAAACTTGACCACTTTATTGATCTTTGTTATTGAAGTTTCATGTTTTTCATAACTTTACTAGATTTCATGTAAGGATATGTGAAAACTGTTGCTTACTTATGAAACCATAGTTAGGAATGATCTTAACTTAGGTTAATTCTTACATATTAACACTTGTTTATAATTTTGTTTTAATTATATTCATTGATCAATCCGTGAGGCTTTCATGTTGAATGAAGCATTAAGAATATATGTTGATTCTTGCTCAATCTTGTTTTGATTGAGAACAAACAAAAACTTAAAATTGAAGGTTTGATTGCACTAAAATTTTAGTATTTTTATGCTCATTTTTAGTGCAATTTTCCTTATATTTTGCTTGTTCTTTAAAATGTTTGGCAAAAATACTCCTAAATGCATATTTTTCTAATATGTAAATAAAAATAAAGAGGAATTTGGACAATTTGGGTACATTTTGGATAATTTTTTGTGCAAATTGTGAAAATGGTCTAAATTAGTGTCATTGAGTTATATTGCTTTTAAGGGAGTTTTCTTGAACCTTTCTTCCATGATTTTCTTTTAACATTATTCCTAACATTTTTCTAGTGATTTTATTGTTAAATTTGCTTATGTAATACTTGAATTTTTTGTAGCAAAAGTGAAGAACAATTCATGTAAGAAGCGGTAACAAGGAAAAGGAAAGAAAGCTACATTGCTATAACTTCATATGAGCTTGCATTTGATGCCAAGTTAGGGATTCAAATGAGGACTTAAAGAATGCTGCGCTGGCATTTTGAAGAACTATCATTGGTTATAAAGTAAACTTTTTAGGTTAGCAAAAACGCATGAAGGAAGTTTGCAACAAATGAAGAAACTTAGGTGTCAAAACCAACTGTGTAATCAAGTGAGGAAAGAGGAAAGAAGTCTCTAGAAGACCATTTTATCTTAGATATTTTGGAGGGATATTTTGGAGTTAAATAGGATGAGAGCTGAAATTTTGGGAGATGTTATATTAAGATATAATTTTTTTGTTCATTTAGTCTTTTGCATTTTCTTTCCTATAGTTTTATTTTCCTTCTTGTCAAATAGCCTTATATTTCAATTTTCCTTATTGAATTTGATTTCCAATTTGCATTTCCTGAAGTGGTTTTCAATTTTTTTTAAGATTATCGCAATGAATTTTGTGATTTTTCTTAATTTCATGTTCAAATTCCTTTAATTTTTTGTTAATCTCAATTCTATTTTCAAATTCACACACTTGACCTCTTTTTAGTTTTTTAATTGAAACTTCTTGATTTCTAGCTTAGTTTTACTCCATTTTTTTTCATAGTTTCTTAGTTTATTAAGCTATAAAATAATAAAATTTTAGATTCAAATTTATTTCCAATCGTTTCAGTTAATTTTTGAAAGTAACAATTAAAATTTGAAAAAGCTGCAATCACTACAAGAAAAATGAATTTTAGTGAGAAATTTATTGAGAATCGTATGTCAACTTTCACTAAAAATTTCGTTTTAAAGAGATTTTCTTGTAACCCTCGTTAAAAGTAACTTTTAGTGTAAACTTAGTTTAGATCCTCACTAATTGTTACTTATGAATGAAATAAATTTTCTACAATTAAAAAATGGCACCCGGACCTCCCAATAAACGCCACAAAAAACGCACACCAAAACGCCTCACTCTCTTAGGCGGCTACCTGCCAGCCTTTGCTTCAGTCTTCACGTAACCCTATGCACCAACCTTCCTACCTCTCCGATGGCAACCACTTAGAAAACTTATCACCATCACCACCACCACTATAGCCTCTGTCGCTAATACATCGGCAGATCCAAGCACTAAGATTACCATGTACCCCGCCCCGCCTTCCACGAATCACTCCGATCCTCGTCGCACTGATGCTCCTGCTTCAGAGGTATCTCTAAAGGATAGCGAAAGTTCGAAGACCAACGAAACTACTGTGGGCTCGGTCGCAGGGGATAGCAGCGGTCCCGTTAACGATACCCAAAAGAAGATTCACCGAACTGAGCTGTTCGACGTACTTGTCAAATTGTCTGAGCAAGAGAAGCGTAATTCTAGGGCTGAGAGGTAACGGCATTTATTTTTCCCTATTTCCTTTGCGTAATATTCGGGGTTTATTGGGTTTTAAGGTTTTATACCTAATCGATGAGAATTTCTGAAATTAGAGAAGAAATTATTTATTTTATTTTGATTTATTCCAGAAAATGACTGTTCTGATATTTTTCTTTAAATGCCATGTTTGATTCTTGATGCGCTGAGAAGCATAGATTAATGCTCTTATATGTTTACAGTTTTAAGTGGTCCGAGTAAGGTGAAATACAATCTGGATGCAGTATATGCTTTTAGTTGCTTTGTATCAAAACTGATGGTAATAGTATTCGAGGTTTGAAGCTATATAGTATCATATTTAATGCTTTATAGTTATGGTAAGAACTATGTTATGGTTTGTTTAAGATTTGGCTTTTACACTAAGCTATTATGGATCTTGTTAAGTCTGGTTCTTCCCTTTCTAATTAGAGAAGTGGCTGGGGATTGTTATGACTAGCATAACTTTCCTTCTTACTAACTGGTGGCTAATTGATAATTTTATGCAAAATTTTTCTAGCAGAAATGGGTTGCATGCTTGATATAATTTAGATTTTCTTTCAGATCAGTGTGGTGCTTATCGGTGTTTGTTTGCATCATCGACTCTGCGTAGCATGTTCATTCATCTTATAAGGAAATGCATTTCTGAATTATTATCTTCTGCAGATGTGGAACTTTGACACAAATGATGGAGACCCTCGTCTCCTACAGTTTCAAAGTGGACACAGTGCTCCTCCACTTTGCATCAGGTAATAGCACTCCCATTAATTTTAGGCATGCATGACATTCTGTATATTTATTTCCTCCTCAATTTCTTTAACCAGTAAAAGTGTATTAGAATGTCATAAACCTAAACTTGAATGTCATATAAACTTTTTGTCTGATGCTAAGTACTTTTTACCCATGCATGACCTGATAAAATCCTTTATTTATCTACTCTGCCATTCAATAGGAGCTTAGATCCCTGGGTACACATTACTCATTATTTTGCTCTTATTCTCATTCTCCATCCATGAAATTCTGTATTAACGTGCTAATTCGCAATTTACATAATTTTCTAATTTGTTGGTAAACTGTCAAATTTGTTGTGATCAGAATCAGCAGAGCTGAGAGCTGTCTCACGGTCACATATCTAAGCGAGCCAAGAAATTAAGAATGAAGGTATGCTTGGGGTGACACATCTTACTTGGCTGACTTAGTTAGCATGAGTATACCTAAATGATATATCTGAATATAGTATACTAATTCTGTAAATGTTGTAGTTTTTGTTTATTTATTGAATTCTTGTGTTCAGCTTCTTAATTTCGTATTTTCAATTTCAGGAGGAGGAACTAAAATTAAAGCCAGTTATTGCATTTGATTGTGGTACGATCTTCCGCTATATTCTCTTTTATCATTTAGAAACATGAGTCTGATTCTTATCTATTTTTTAGTGATGGAATGTATTTTTGTTATGTCCAAGTGATCTAAGTCTGGCTTTCCCTCTCTCTATCTAATAGATGGTTTCTTTTTGTTTTATCTGTTACCTTCTAAAATTTCCTGCCTATCTTAAATTCAGCAATTGTTGCTCTTTGGAAGTCTTGAAGCTTGGGTGTCCTAAACTAACTAGTCTCTTTCTCCAGGTATGGTTATGGTTTCTTTTTGTTTTATAGGTTGCTCTTTGGAAGTTTTGAAGATTGGCTGTTCCTAGATGTTTAATGTTTATGTCCTTTTTTTTTTTTTTTATCAGTGTTATGGTGCTTTTCTATTGGGCGTGTATTGTTGAAGATGCTTTTGTGACTGATTTATTTGCAAATGCAAGATTTTATACAAGGAAGCACTATAGGCAGTGAACTGTACTGGAATCTTGCATAATGCCTAACAATGGCTTCGTCATGTGGACTTTCTTTTTTGGCCTTAAGAATTTCAACCTACAAAGGAATCCGAAGGAGATGCTGTACTATCTAATAAAAGAAGCAGTAGTGTACTGTATGCTTGCGAGGATGAAGATATGGAATGTGAGTTGGACTCTAATGGTGTGATGGACATTGATGACCTGTATGATGGAGATGCAGTTCTTGACCAGTCAGATTTAGATGTTGAAGAGCCAGCAGGAAGAGGAATGAACATGCTTCTAGTTTGCAGAAGTGTTTTTGAATATGAAAAATTGAAGAAAATTAGTGAAGGTACTCATGGTATTGTTTATAGAGCTAAGGATAAGAAGATGGACAAAATTATGACTCAGAAGAAGGTAAAGTTTATTGGTCGGAAAGATTCTGAAAAATATGGTTTCCCTTTGACCTCACTAAGGGAAATTAACATTCCTGCATCTTTTCATTATGCTTCAGTTGTGAAAGTTAAAGAAGTCATTGTAGATGACCATGACAATGTTTACTTGTTTAATGTGTATTTTGATTTTTTATGAACTTTTGAATTTGATATTATTTTTCTTTGATATTCGCATTTCAGACCACCTGAACTTTTGCTTGGACCAAAGAAGTATTCAACAACAGTTGACATGTGGTCTGTGGGCTGTATAATGGCATAGTTGTTAGCTAAGGAATCATTCTTCAAAAGGACAAGCGAAATTGATCAGCTTAGCAAGGTTATTATTGTTTCTATTAAAATTATCATCTTTCTTTTATCTTATTTCTATTTTTTTTTTCCTGATGTTTGGTCCTGATGGTTTATTGTTGCAAATATTTGATACTCTTGGTACCGCAAGCGAGAAGATCTAGGCTGGTTTTTCTGAATTACCTGAGGCCAAGGCAAATTATTCTAAGCAACCATAAGTATCTCTCTAGACAATTACTCTCATCTAAATTACTTGTATTTATTATGATTTTCTATATGTTCTGTATTTATTGATTACCTTGTCATGTGATCTGCAGTTTAATAATTAGGTGTGTTTGTTTTCTTCTTCCAGGTATAATTTGTTGCGTAGGAAGTTACCTGCAGTATCTTTCACAGGATCTCCAGTTCTTTCTGATGTTGGATTTGACCTGTTAAACAGGCTTTTTACATATGATCCTGAGAAAGTAAATGTATATAAGTTAAGAACCCTAATTTGTTAACTTTTAATTTATATGTATTGGTTTCTGCTAATCAAAGTTTCTGTTATATATGCAGAGAATAACAAATGATGCTCTTAATCATGATTGGTTCCATGAGCTTTCTCTACCAAAATCTAAAGAATTCTTCCCTACTTTCCCCTCGAAAATGTGAATGGACCTGGCCTGATAATGAAAGCTTGACAGAACCGAAAAACATATTTAGGCTGCATTTTTAGTTTACAGTCAGCTTAATTTTGTTCGAATGGCTCCCAGGAATATACAAGGAACCTTGAAGGATCTGAATTCGATGCAGTAGTGGTACAAAAAATTTCTATCTCCTGATTGTGTTATGGGACAGGCAGATTGGTACATACAGCTGCTACGTTTGAAATTTGTATGTGGATGCTTATTTGGTCTTATGCTTGGGATAAATATTATTTATTTATGTTTTATTTGGAGTAAAACTTACAAATATAAAAAATTATATACATTTATAAACAAATTAAATAAAAATACATAAATATTTTTGGTGAGGCTTTGAAGTATTTTCACTAAATAATTTAAAGTGTTATGTGAAGATTACAATTTTATAATTTTTAATAAAAGTAATTTTAAATGAGGATTAATAAAAGCTTTCACTAAAAGCAAAAATTTTAAGGGTAGGTTAATAAAAGCCTTCGTTAAATGTAAAAGATAGAGTGAGAGTTAAAATTGATCTTTATTATAAGTTTTACATTTAGTGATAATTAAAATTAACTTTCGTTAATTATTTACATTTAGTGAGGGTTTTATTTTATCTTTCATTATATATAATTAACAAGAAAATTTATAGCGAGAACTTGTAAGAGTCATATTGATCTTTGCTAAAAGAATGAGTGAGAATTATATGGATTTTTAGTGAAGGTTGGAACCCTTACTAAATGACTATGCTTGTAGTTAGCAAATTGTTTGTTTTTTTAAACCTTTAATCTCTTACACTTACTTGTTATCTTACTTATTTTTATTTTATTGTAATTTGGTTCATGAATTTGACTACTGTTTGGATGAATTGTTTATTTACTGCTATGTTTTTCTTTGTTTTGCATAGATCTTGTGTAGCTAGTTCAATGAGCTAGTTTATATATATATATATATATATATATATATATTCTGTGATTTTCTTGTTAGATTTTGTAAGAAACTTCTTGTTGAATCTAGTTTTAGGTCAACTTTAGTTCATTCATTCTAGAGAATTGTAGATCTAATTTTTTTTTCATAAAATGTTAGTTTTTAGCTTACAAAATCTGTTTTGGCTTCCACTTTCTTTTGTTGAATCTTGCAATTTTTCTTTAATTTTTGTTGTTCAATTTGAATTCTCATGTTGTTGTTTTAGTGTTCTTTTATTTTATAGTTCATAATCATCTAATCTTGCATGATTTAGAGTTAGAAATCCACCTTAAAATCATGCTTTCAATTTTTTTTTTCCTTTTTTTACATTCTGTGATAACCTTTTATTTAAACCTTGCAATTTTATTTCACAATTTGTTCTTCGAATTTGTTTTTACTTTAGTTCTTTACTTGATCTTGCGATTTTAAGTATGAATCCATTGGCTTTATTGCCAATTAAATCTCATTTTAATTGTTGAGTTACAGTTTGTCTAGATTGGCTTTGTATTTTTGGGTTTGCAAGGTTAGTTGCATTTTACATTTTCATCACTTCAATTTCAATTCAATCTTGATTTTACTTTGATTTATCTACTGTATTTTACATTTGTTTTAGCATGCATTGTACTTATTGTTCTTGTTCATTTGTTCATTTACTTAGTATTACATTTTTCATATTTTATTTGCTTTTATTTTCATAGTTAGTTTTCATTTTAATTTGGTGATTGAGCCAACTATAAAAGGGTAGGGTGATAATAGATATTTAGTGTAGAAATTTCTTTATCTAATATCTGCGAGACAATATCTTGACTAAAATGTCATTAGTATCACTTGTACACCTGAACACTTACAATCAAAATGTATATGTGAAAACATATGAAAAATAAATCAAACACAAAATTTTCAAACTTTGAAAACATATTCCACATTGTTCTTCCTTGAAAACTAACCAAAAAACCACTAAAAATCAACAAAATAACCTACTAAACTAACCTTTTTTGCATAGAAATTAAATAAAACAAATATGAAACAAAACAAAATTTTCATACAAAATGAAGAGCAAAGTTCAATTATATTAATAATCACCATGGCTGAAACTTTCATGGCATTTTCATCATACGATCATCACCTCATTCAAGCCAAATATGCACGAAACATCTATGAAACCATACTACAATAACATTTTAATCATGTAAGGACATTTGATAAATATGTGATAAATTAATATATAAAAAAAAATGAAAATATAAACACAAGCCAAACACCATACACAACTTATTAAAACCAACATTCATTATGTATCAAACAAATAAAACCAACAACCAAAGCCTCTATATAGATGATTTAAAGCAAGAAAACACCCAAGACAAGACAAGATGAGGTTTAGCCATGATGAAAGAATGCTTGGTTGAACCTCCAACTTGGTTTCAATGGTGGATTGTGCTTTTTGGTCACTTGATTCTTTTAAGCTTAAATCCAACTATGGTTTAGTTGGTTGAATTTTGAACCAAGATTGAATACAAACTATAATCTTTCAAAAAAAAAAAAAACTAATATGAAAATGTTATGAAAAGATATTGGGAATGTAATGGAATGCAAGAAAAGAGAATAGAAATTCTACATTCTTCTAGGCCTTTTTCAACATTCTTTTTTTGTTTTCATGTTTTTTGTTTGGTTTCTCTCTTCCTTTTGTTTTTTTGCATTTTTTCCCAACTCCCTTCCTCTGTTTCTCAACGTTTCCCACCCAAGAAGAAGATGAAAATATCCCTTACAATTGAATTTTAGCCCTTAAATTGTAAAAGCATCCATTGGTCCAAAATAATCCCTTGTTTTGATTGCAAAGAGCTAGTTTTTACCATTGAATCAAGCTCCCCAATGTCATTTTAAGGTCTAGAATGTGCATTGCCAAAGATTAGATTTTTAATGTTGTTTGTTTCAAATGAAAATACCATTGTGCCCAAATTATGAAGTTTTTAGTTTGTAGTCCATTTTCTTGGGAAAGAATGCTACTTTCTCTATTTTTGTGATTTTAAAGCACAAAAAATCATGAAATAATGTGAAATTAAATTACAAAAATTTTTGTGAAAATCCAAAAATCATCAAATAATACAAAAAATTATCTAAAAAGTTTTGGAAAAAAAAACCTAGGAAAGGTCAAATTACAAATATCCCTAAAAGGTATTTTAATGATTCCACACCTTTTAAGGTACAACCAAGGTTTTCAATATTCCAAAAATTATTGAATAGTATAAAATCATAATCTTGAGCTTTTCGCAAAATTTAGACTTTGAAAATGTCAATTTAGGAAAATACCCCTAAAAAGTATTTTTGTAATTTCACACATCCAAAAGTGTGATATGGATTTTTAATGTATCAAAAATCATTAAAAGAATTCAATTATGATTCGAAAATTTTCATGGAAATTCAACTTTGGAAAGGCTAAATTATGAAAATACTCATGAATATTTTGATAATTTTACACTTTTCAAAGTGCAATTAAAGTTTTTTTAGTAATTTAAAAATCACAAATTTCAATTTAAAACCAATTGGTTGTGAATTGTAAAAGTTGACCTGAATTCTAACCATTTTGACCTTTTTTTTTACCAAGTTTGATTTTGTTTGATCAAATTTGACTAAGTTTGACCTAAGGGCATTTAGGTTAAATTGGTCCCAATTTTAATTTTTAAAACTTGTCAAACTCGAAGAAATGATGGAATTGAATTATGTTGGATTTTGAGAGCTTCACAAATTGTCAGATTTTGCTCTAACAAAATTAGGTCTTTACAGTTGGCCCTTTTTGCATAGTTTTTAAAATAAAAAATAATGCAAAGACTAAAAACACCAATTTTGTCCAAGAGCTTGGGCTGAGAGGGTTTTACTTGTGTGTTGTTGGTTTTTTACATGTTAGAGATTTTTTTTTTTTGAAATGGCTCCTATGAAAATATGTAACAAACTTTAAAATTTCTTTTTGAAAATGGTTTCTATGAAGATAGAGGGCAAACTTTAAATTTTATATTTTTTTGAAAATGACTCATATGAAGATAGACAACAAATTTTTAATTTTTTTTTTAAATGGCTCTTATAAAGATAAGCAACAAAATTTTAAAAAAATCTCTTTTTAAAAAAAGTTTCGATGAAGATAGGCAATAAACTTTAAAAATCTTTTTTTGAAAAGGGCTCCTATGAAGATAAACAATAAAATTTTTTTTTTAAATGAACTCCTATGAAAATAGGCAATAAATTTAAAAAAAATTTCCTTTTGAAAAGGGCTTATATAGAGATAGGCAAGTGACTTTAAAAATCTTTTTTTGAAAAGTACTCTTATAAACATAGACAAATAACTTTAAAAATCATTATTTGAAAAGTGCTCTTATAAAGATAGGCAACGGATTTTTAAAATTTCATTTTAAAAAGGGTTCTTATGAAGATAGGCATGTGACTTTAAAAATTTCTCTTATGAAGATAGGAAACGAACTTTATAAATCTTATTTTGAAAAGGCTCCTATAAAGATAGACAACAAACTTTGAAAATTTCTCTTTAGAAAAGGTTGGTTGTGTCTGGGGCTTTGTAAATGATTTTTTTCTTCTTTAAAGGATTTTTTCTTTTCTTTGGTTTCTTCTTGAGAAGTATTCATTCTTCAAATGTGTTTGTTTTCTCTTAGAAAACAAGTTAATTTTGTATATAATGTATGTGATGAATGCAAGGAACACAATGTGTATGAAAACAATTTTGTTCACATTATGCACTTGTACTTGGTTTTTTTGTTTTTGTTTTTATTTTTTTTCTTTCAGAGATATTTAAAAATAAATCTAAATAAAAACTTGGATATCACCATCAAAAAATGATTTGACTTCAAATATCACCACAAAAGAGACATTAGAGATCACTGCTGAGAAAAAAATGACTTTGGATATCACGATCAAAGAGGAATGCAAATTCAAACTTGGATACTCAAATATCATCACTGAGTAAAGGCAAATGACTTTGAATTTCATCACCTAAGGGTACTCGAATATCATCATTAAAGAGAAATGAAAATTCAAACCTAGATACTCGAATATCACCATATCGTAAAAGACTTCTAATTCATCATCGAAGAAGAGTACTTGGTTATCGCCACTGAGTGAATTTGGAAAAAGTTAAGATATCATCACTGAGAAAAATTTTTAAGAAATTTCAACTTGAATACTTAGATATTATCACCAAAAAATGTTAAAAATATTCAAACATGAATACTTGGATATTACCATTAAGTGATTTTGAAAATTTTTAAATATCACCATCGGGAGCATTTTAATGAAAGGTCGGATTTCACCATCAAGAAAAATTTTAATGAAATTTAAACTTGAATGCTTGGATATCACCACCAAGTGAAAATAAATGATTTCGGATACACCATTGAAAAGAATTCAAATAACTTTGGATATCACCACCGAATAAAACTTAAATATTACAACCCAAAAAGTTTTAAAGATGGTTAGATTTTGCCGTCAAAGAAAGTTTTTAAGCAAAGGTTGGAATTTGCCATCGAGAAAGTTTTAATGAAATTCACACTTGAATGCTCAACATCACCATCGAGTCAATGAAATTTGGAGTTTTTAATAATCAAATATCACCATTGAGATTTGCAAAAGCTCAGATATCATTACCGATGAGTTTTTATAAAAATTCATATGTCATTATAAAGCATGCATAAAACTCAGATATCACCATTGAGGAATGAAAACATGTAGAAAACTTGAATATCACCATCGAGGGGATAAAAAATGATATTATTAGTAGAAAACCTTAACACATGTTTTTAACCTTTTT